ATACTTTAAATATATTAGTTCATTCACATCTCTGTGAGATAGATTAATAATATTATTGATTAATAATATCAGGAAACTGATGCACACAGAAGTTATATATCCCCTGCCCAACTAGTATAATGCAAAGTTAGGATCTGAACCTGGGGAGTTTAGTTCCAGAATCTGTTCACCTAGGTATCTAAATGGATATACTTAGCAGGCAGTTGGATATAACAGTCTTCAGTTCAGGAAGTCAGGTATAAGTAGAGATCTACATTTAAGAGTTATTAGCCTATGGAGGGTGTTTGGAGCCATGATACTAGTTGAGACCATTTAGGGAAAGAGTATAGATAGGGAATAAGTTCAAGGGGTAAATACTGCAGCATTTCATCATATAGAGCTCAGGCATGAGAGAAAGCTCCAGTAAAGAATACAGAGGAATAGAATAGCCAGTGGAGTAGGAGAAAAACCAGTACAGTGTAGTATTTGTGAAGCCAGGTGTAGAAAGTGTTTTAAGGAGGATGGTCAGCTCTGTCAAATACTACTGATGGCCTGAAAGAATTGGTCAGCAGATTTGGCAACATGAAGCTCATTGGTGACTAAGAGCATTTTCAGAGGAAAGGGGTGGATCAAGAGGGATGGAGGAGGTGATATGGAGATCCCAAGCCTGGATGATTTTGAGGACTTTTTTTAAATGGTAGCATAAATAGGTTAGTTCTCTTTTTCTTCTCTTCTAGTGCCCCCCTACTCACTCCTTCAGACTATGACACTCCATCAGTGCCAAACTGGTGAGTCCCAGAGAAATCATCTGTGAGGGCGTTACAAAGCAAAGTCCTTGGAAAAAACACTTGACCAACAGCTAATCATACACTTGTTTTGATCTCTGCCTTTCTTTGGTTCATGGGCCACTTATCTACCCACACCTGGCCCTGCTAACCCAGGTGACTCCCTAACCACAACCTCTTAACTGCCTTCCCAAGCTCCCAAACTGGATCAGGTGTCTATTTTATGATTATAGCATCCTTCACTTCGCTTTATGGAACTTATAACAGTTTGTATTTATACTTATTTGTGTTATTATTTTATTTATGTTCATCTTCTCTACTAAACTGTGCTAAGACTATGGGCTCTGGAGTTGGTCAGCCAAGGTACAAATCCTGGTCACATATACTAGTGGGTGACTGTGGACAAGGAACTTAACAACTTGGAGACACTATTTCGGCATCTGTAAAATTGGGGTTAAAGTAGCATTCACCTCATATAATTTTGTGAGGCTAATACAACATGTAAAGGTGCCTGACACTGAATAAATTTTAAAATCATTATGAACATATTAAAGTAGAAAATGCGTTTTTAAAAATATATCTCCAAAATAAGCCATGACTAATCCTTTTCACCTTTTCTCTTTCGTCTCTTCACCCCAGCTTGGCCTTACTGTGTTATATATTAACCACATTTCTTCTTTTACCTTTATTATACTTGAGGGCAAAAACCCATTATCTTATTGAATTTACCAACTGATACATTTTTTTAATGGAAATGATATAAAATGTTAAAAGATATTCCATCCCCTCCCCCCACAATACAGAAGCTCCTTTCTTGTTTTTCTAGAATATCTACTAAATAAAAGGCACTAATTTGTTGTTCCATTACAAATCACCACTAAACCTAACATCTTAAGCCAGTGATTTATTATGGCTTTCTATGATTTTGTGGGTAAATTGGGCTCATTTCATTAGCTCCGGTTTAGTTTCTCTAATACTGTTGTGGGCCAAAGGAGGCTGGGGTTATAGTCATCTGTAGGCTTGAATGATCTGGGTGACAAATGTGGTTTCCTCACTCACATGTTTGGATGCCTCAACTGGAGTGGATGGAGTAGCTTGAGGCTGGCTGGACACCCTCTTCTTTTTGCTTTGTCTCTGTCTCTGTCACTTTCTTTCAGTTTCTGTATTTTGTAGCTCCAGCTTTTTAATAGTATAGAGATCTCAGTGTGTTCACACTTCTTACCCAATGGCCGCTTGCCCCAGAATAAGTATTGCAAGAGACCCAGGTGGAAACTATAAGGCTTCTTAAGATGTACCCTCAGCAGTCATCCCTTCTGTTGCACTCTAGTAGTCAAAAACCAGCCATAGGGCCAGCCCAGATTCAAGGGGAGGGGAATACTCAAGAGTATGAATTCTAAAAGCATGGTTCATTGGTGGTTATTTTTGAGGATGAGCTACTGCCATGAGCATATAAACATATACCATAAAGCCACAAAGCCCTTGCCTTTATGAGCTTATAATATAGCATAGGGCAGGGTTTTCTTTTTAACCTTGGCATTATTGACTTTTAAAATTTTATTTTATTTATTAAAAATTTGTAAAATATTTGTTTATTTTTGAGAGGAAAGGAAGGAGCAGAGAGAGAGGGAGACAGAATTCCAAGCAGGCTCCAGGCTCTCAGTGGTCAGCACAGAGCCCAACCTGGGGCTCGAACTCAACGAACCAGGAGATCATGACCTGAGCTGAAGTCGAAAGCTTAACCAATTGAGCCACTCAGGCACCCACTGACTTTTTTAAAAGGAAATACATTTTATTTTTTAGAACAGTTTTGGATTTATGGAAACATCGCAAAGATAGCACCAAGAGTTCCCATTTACTCCACACCCAGTTTCCCATAATATTAACATCTTACATCAAGATGGTACATTTCCTACAATTAATAAAACCATTAATTAATCCATTAGTAATTAGAGTTCATATTCTATTCATTTTTTTTTTTTTTTTAGTTTTTACCTAAAGTCCTTTTTTTGTTCAAGGATCCCATCCATGATACCACATTACATACAGTGTTCCTATTGTTCCTAGCTCCTCTTGGCTATGACAGTTTCTCAGACTTTACCTATTTTTGATATCCTTGATAGCTTTGAGGAGTCTTGGCCAGATGTTTTGTTGAATATCCCTCTACTGGAATTTGTCTGATTTTTTTTAAAATCATAATTTGGGGTTAGGGCATATACATGATTAACATGACTTATCGCTGTTGATAATAATATCAACACCCCCACTATGTAAGTTACTATGTGCACCTCGCACTTAAGGAGTGAAGAGTTATGCTCCATATCCTTCAGGAAGGATTATCCACATAAATTATTTGGAATTCTTTAGCAAGAAAGGTTTGCCTCTTCTCCAGCTATTTATTTTTCAATAATTTTTTATTTCTGTATGGATTCATATATATTTATGTTATACTTTAGGTTATAGCCCAAACAGCTTTATGTATTTGTTGCTCAAAAAGTTACAACTTTAGTTATTGGGAGCTCTTTCAGATGGTTCCTGTATCCCTGTAACATACCCCCATAAACGTGTTCTTTGTTTTTGAACACTTCTTTCTGGCACCATAAGATGCTACAGGTTCACCTAGTTTTTTTCCTACCCTGGACCTAGAATCAGCCTTTTGTCTAAGGATCCCTGGTTCCTTAGTTGTGCTTATTGTTACACTATTGACATCAGATAATTCTTTATTGTGGGGAGCTGTCCTGTGTATTCTAGCTTAACGGCATCCCTAGCCTCTCTGCGTATTAGATGCCAATAGCAACCCTCTTTCTCCAGTCGTGCAAATTAGTAATGTATCCAGACATTGTCAAATGTCCCCTAGGGGGCAAAATGGCCCCTGGTTGAGATCCACTAGCATAGCAACAGTCCTGCTGAAAATTACAATGATATAATGTAATGGAGAACAGTGGGAGCATTGCAGAAGAAGCTTCTGAGCCTGTTTACAGATGTGGAGGAAAGATTCACAGAAGAGGTGGCAACCGAACTGAGAATTGATTTGCTATTTTTTGAGCAATTGTTGTGAGGCAGACAAAACGTAATGTTTTATTTTTATCATATAATCTTAAACTTAAAAATCAGGTATTTTACAGATGAAGAAGCCAAAGTTGAAAGAGACAGTAACTTGCTTAGAGTGCCTGAGATGGTCTTGGAGGACCCCATGAGCTCTGCGGATGCAGGGCTCTGAGGGTACTGACATCTGCTCCCACTACTCACATCAAGACTATGTTAACCACACCTTTGTTCATAAAACTGCAGTACCACCTCATTTTTAATTTTCCCCCATTCAGTTCTGAGTTCTTAAGAGCAGGAACCATGCAGTGTTTGTCTACAATGCTTGCCATGTTATAGGTGTTTGAGAACTGTTTGATGAGGTGGTGAACATTAGTTGATTCCACAAAATTCCCCACTGACAGATTACAGAATTAACTCTTCCTTCCTTCTGGTCCAATTGCTATCCTACCCGCACCTCTGGTGGAGAGCTCACTGCTGGGCACACCAGCTAACCTCCTGTAGTTTTTGGTCACTCGGCCTCGTTGTTTTACCTTCAGCTATCCCAGAGGGAGTAGTTGGCTGGTGTTAGTGACATTGTAGACTGATTATAGCCAGTAGTATTTTGCCTTGGGTTAGAGTTGTAAAAGGTGTTCTCTAAGGAAAGCAAAACATGCCTCACAAGATGCAGAATGTATTGCTACTGGTTTCCACAAATAATGCCAATTATCTACTTTTAATTATTCCTTTGTCCCATAGGATTCTTCTATTACTTAAGGACAGATTTTACACAGACCATGAAAGGTATTTTTTCTTTTTTTCTTCCTTTCAAATTCTTCACATTCTCATCCAGATTTCCTTTTTTGTTGTTGTTGTTGTTGTTTGTTTTGTTTTGTTTTCAGAGAGGCAGGAGGTCTTCTTGTTTATCAAACAAAACCAGAGGGGAAAATGCCTTGGTTTTTTTGTTCCTTTCTCTTTCCTACAACTTCTGGATCTGCTATTTGCAGATGCTATGAAATTTTAAGTCTATTGAATCAGAAGTTGCTCTTTCTGGTTTCAAGACTCCTTTTCTTCCTTTCCTTTGCTAAAATTCTGGTCTAATTAAAAAAACAGTAGATCATAGTTAAATAAAACTGTACCCAGGATAACCCTAATTTCCATATGCAGATTTATCTGCACTGACAGCCACCCCCCTTACACACACACTCTCGCTCTCTCATTCTCCTTTCCCTCCTCTCCATCTCCCTATTGCATTGTGTCTGACTGATTTTCAGAGCACCTTCGCTGTTTCCCCCTTCTCATTCCCTTTCTGTAAAATATCTAGACAGGAAGGAGGTGGCTGCAGAGGCTGAACAAACAATCTCACATTCTGCCTGCAATGTCATCGTTTCTTTCCCCCATTTTAGGGGGCTGAAGTTGCCCAGGAAGGGGATGCAGAGGAGCTGGAAAGGAAGGGGGGAGCTCTCCAGAGGCAGCTGCGGTCAGGGGCAGGGACTGCCGCCAGATGTGCCTGCCTCTCTGGGCTTTGATTCGAAAGGGGCAGGAGGAGGAAGTATTGGGAGACAAAAGCCCCGGTTTAAATGATCATTTTCTTTATTTAACATGGCAGCAGACACTCTCTGCGTAGGATCATCATGCCGAGCATAAACTGGACTTTCCCACTTGCCTGGCAGGAGTGAGACAGATCACTGTCTGCTAAATGAGCATCTGAGGTAAGACCCACTGTTACAGATACTTGCTTTTTTTCCTAAACAATTAATTTTCTTAAATATGTTTCAGCCTCAATCACAAACAGTATAGTGGGGGCAAATCTGTGTTAATCTGCATCTAAAGAGCCAAGAAAAAGCAGAGGTATAATATATTCAACTCAATTTGGGGAGATAGTTACTTTGTCAATTCTGTGTATGCTGTTTGTTTTTCAGGTAAAATATCTGGTTTAAGAATAGACTAGTGTCATCATAATCCACCACTAGTGATAATACTGGTGTTGAGACTCTTAAAAAAAACTTTGTAAAAAGACAGTGAGCTACAGATGCATGTGCTGTATTTTTAGCTCACATACAAATATTAGAAGTCTTATTAAAATGATAGGGTTTTTTTTTTTTTAGCAGAGGAGGAATGAATGCTGCATAATTAAGTACAGTATTTAATTTGGCTGTTGTGAAGCAAAAGAATAAGGTAATAATTTTTATTGTACTAATCAGTCTCAAGATGTTCTCTGTGTTAATTGGGTTAAAAAAATTGCAGTACTTATTAGAAATTCTAATTTCACAATGCAGCACTGACAATAAGCTCAGCCAGTGAATTATTCACATCTTTAATTTGCTCACTTAATGACAGTGTTCTGTAATCAGAGTGCAGAGACTGCTGCCTATGCATTATGTATGATGCTCAGGACTTAAATGCAGGACATTATGAAGCTCTCAGTGGTTCAGTAATTAGTTTTCCACAAGACAGGATTTAGATATTCACAGATAAAAGTCCACAGTTGGATAATGCTAAGGTTGCAACACAAAATAACAAAGGAAAGGAAGCTCAAAGTTTAGACTGAAACTTTGTCTCTCCGGCCTTGTCCACTGTGGAAACAGAATCATGCCACCTGAAATAGTTGCCTAGCTCTGATCACATGTTTGAAAACTGTTTTTGAACAAAGTTGTAGCAGGCGAGGCATTTGAACAATTTCAGTGGACCAGAGGGGAAAGATAAAACCTTTTTAATTAGTGTTCACAGAAGCCCTGCAATATATCCTCCTAATAAGTCTGTAGTATGCATAGCAGGCATTCTCAGTGTGCTTTGTAACTTAGTTAGTGCAAATGCAAATCAGGTTACAGTGGTGTTTGGTTGTAATTGTGTTTGTAAAAGGGTTACATGCCCAAATGGAGATTGAGCTTGCTCATGGTTTTGTTCCAGTTGCTTCTGAGGGAAGGTTTGAAAATCAAATGAGATATTAAGTGAATCTGGACATGAAAGGAAGTAGATCTGAATTGTCAGTGCAACTTTGGGATTTCTTCCACTTGTCGGTTTAGAGTTGTCAGTTTTTCTTTAATGATTCTAGGATTGTTCTGTCATGAGTGATATAACCTTTGAGACTACCCAGAACTGCTAGCAATACTTTAAAAATGTATACTAACTTTGGGAAAACATTTCACAGTATTAATTCTAAAGTTTAATAGCCAGATTGGAAACTTTACAGTGATTTAAACAACAACAACAAAACAAACAAACAAACAAACAAGCAAACAAAAAACATGTTGCCTGGTAGACTTTATGGGGATTTTTGAGGATTTAAACATTAATATTTATTAATAAGATCTCACTGCTTTACCATTTGTTTGTCTAAGATTTGTGCTCATTTCCAAAACCCAAGTGTCAAGATCCTTAATCAAATTTGGCATTTTAAATAGAAATGCAGAGTAATACTTTAAAACTGCCTTTTATAGCTTAGAACATTTTTTTAAGGAAACTTGAGTTAAGATATCTATAGGCAAATGTAATGTTTAGGGAAGGAATGAACTAGCGAAATAAAAAGAAAGTACATTCCACCTTAATTTGAAAAATTCCAAATTAAAAAAAAATTAAGTCACACCTCCAAATTTGACTTCTACTTTCTAGAACTGAGAAGCTACTTTAACAAAATAAAGATGTTTTTCACATATGTTTAGGAAGCTGTTGCCTTTGTGACACTTCAAACATGGTTTTTGGGAAAGGGCACTTGGTTAGGGGATGAATTAGGATATTGTATAGTTGAGGAAGTGACCTGACTTGACTTGGATCCAGTATAATATGTGGCAATCAGTTGGTAGCAGTGTTGCTTTTAGTAGCTTAAAGAAATACTGGGAATTAGGAAACTTGAAATTGAGCACCTAAATTGATTTTCCATTTCCTTATCTGTCAGACTGGAATAACAAACTTTTCTAAGATTTAGAAAAAAAAAGAACAAAAAACAAAAAACAACTGCCACGTTATTATGGGGAGAAATGAGGTAGAGGAGTGAAAGTTTTTTGAAAACTTAAAAGCACTAGATAAAAATATGAAAGCTATTTTAAGGATTAACAAAAACAAAATGTGTGTCTTTGAATCTGTATTGTTTATTATGGAAGAGATTCTTATCCAGATTTGCAACACTCTGTAATGTAAAAATGTCAAAATATTGTCAAGTAAATAAATTTAAATTCAATTTAATGAAAATAAGCCATGAAAAAAATGCCTTTCTTAGGTGTTTGGGGGAGAACAAGAAAGCCTTGAGATTCCATGAACATCAGTTTGGTGTCATCACTCCAAAAAAGGTTGGCAATCATCTTGCCTTGGACATTTCTTTCACTTATCACTGAAGAGACACATATTAATACTGTAACAAGTCTTATGCTTGGAATATCTGCCAGTTATCAAGATTTTGGCCATTCTTCTCATTAGATCATGAGTCAGAATGAGATAATTTCCACCACTGGAATTTTGGAGCTCTTTTTCTCACCAAAAATGGTCAATATATCAACCAATCAATAATTGATTATCTGTTAATTTTTCTTTGGCTGTCTATTGAGCACTTATAATGCTATCAAAACTAACATGCTATCTTGCCCTCATTCTTATGAGGTGGTTGTCTCCTTATTCTAGATGAGAGACTGAAGCACAAAGAAATTAAGTATTTTGACAATACCACAAAGCTGCTGAGTAGTAGCATTAGAATTGAACCAGATCCAAGTCCTGATGTTGCAACCAATAGACTACATTGTCAGTTCCCAAGGTCCTGAGCTCTGTGCTGAGATAAAGGAATTGATTGAGATTCCTGCCCTCACATTGCTCACAGTGGTAATATTTGAGTTTCTTCCACCTGCTCCTTGTGGGTCAAGACTTGCTACTCACAGTGTGGGCTACGACAGCATTGGCATTGTTTGCAACCAGGGTTGGGTGCTTTACTAACTTTGATGTGACTTTTAAATCAACTGGGGATCTGGTTAAAATCCGATTCTGATTCAGTAGGTCAGGGATGGGGCCCAAGATGCTTTTCTAACAGGTTTCCAGGTGATGCAATGTTGCTGTTTCATGAGGTGTCCATTTGGTGAGTTCTAGAATTACAGTTCTAGAATTACCTGTGCTTTCCTTCCTGCAGTTACCTGCAGTTATCTGTTATCAACCATGGTCTGGAATCAGATGATCCTCCTGACCAGTTGTCAGAAGGTCAATAGTTGCTTAACACTACGTCACAATGCCTACATAATTCACTGCACTTTATCACATCACATAGGCATTGTATCATCTTACATCATCACAAGGAGAAGGGTGAGTACAGTGCAACAAGATATTTAAAGAGAGAGAGAGAGAGAGAGAGACCACATTCACATAACTTTTATTATAGTATTTTGTTACAGTTGTTTTAGTTTATTAGTTATTGTTGTTAATCTCTTACTATGCTTAAATTGGAAATTAAACTGTATCATAGGTATGTATAGGAAAAAACATGATATATGTAGTGTTTGGTACTATCTGTGGTTTTAGGCATTCTCTGAGGGTCTTAGAACACATCCCCTGTGGAGAAGGGGGGACTGCTGTGTCTTATTTCCCCCATGTTTGGTATCCAGGGAAGGTCCAGTGCATCTACTGAATTCCTTACTGAATTCCACTCTTCCAATTCTGATTTTTTTTGGGGGGGTCCATATAGAAAAGCTTCTACCTTGGTTTCCTGACTTTGCTCTCTGGTGCCCTAAGTCTCGGACTATATAGCCGTGACCCTGGCTACCAGTTTAGCTCTGGCAGAGATCTCCTATGGGTCTGATTCCACACGCCCAATTACTAGCATTGGCTGTTCCATCTTAATAGTGCCATCAGCCTGGTTGAGGATCTTCATTCCCATGTCTGCATCAGAATCAGCTGTGAGGCTTATTGAAAACTTGCAAGTAGGGGTGCCTGGGTGGCTTAGTTGGTTAAGCACCTGACTTCAGCTCAGGTTATGATCTCATGGTTTATGAGTCAGAGACCCATGTCAGTCTCTCTGCTGACTGCGCAGAGCCTACTTTGGATCCATTGCCCCCTCTCTCTCTACGTCTTCCCTACTTACACTATCTCTCTGTGTCTCTCAAAAGAAATGAATAAACTTAAAAAGAAAAAAAAAAACTTGCAAACTCTCTCAGTAACACTACCATAGATTTGATTTATTAGTAAGCTTGGGGTGGGTCTCAGGAACTTTTTTTATCTTTTCTAAAACTTCATCATTGATCCTGGTGGGCAGCCCATGCTGAAAACCACTTTCTTTCTTTCCTTTTTTTTAAACTTAAAAAAATGTTTATTTTTGAGAGAGAGAGAGAGAGAGAGAGAGAGAGAGAAAGCATGAGCAGGATGAGCAGGTGAGGGGCAGAGAGAGAAAGAGACACAGAATCCAGAGCAGACTCCAGGCTCCGAGCTGTCAGCACAGACTCTGATGTGTGGCTCGAACTCATGAACTGCAAGATCATGACTCAAGCCGAAGTCGGATGCTTAACCAACTGAACCACCCATGTGCCCTTCAAAACCAGTTTCTTGGGAGCCCTTGTTGTGCCCTGACCTAACAGGAACCCTTTGGAAAGTGACACTGTCATAGCTTTTGTTCAGGTTTGCCATCTACTGGGAACATTTTCTCTGTGCTTCTATGCTAGCAATGGGCAAAGAACATAGAAAGAATTTAAAACTTTGCTGAGTTGCTTTCAGGAAGGCTTTACTGAGTGATTGGCATTTGAAT